GCTCCCTATAAGAAGGTATGTGCATTCTCCTCATGCCCCATTTAAGTTCATTCTAATATTTAGTTGGAGAGTCATTGTGGAGTCTTCTCTCATCTTTAAGGGAAGTCCACCAATATATGACATATCCTTGGAAGCTAAGGGTTGCCAAACAAATCTTTCTCTCTTCATTCACTTAGTGGTAAGTGAAGAGTTGTTCTAATTTCATCTCCCAATCTAAATAAACATCTACATCATCTTTTCAATGGAAGTGAAGGAGATCCACCTTGTATTCCCTTACTCTATGCTTTCTCTTAAGCTTATGATTTATAGGCTCATTATGGTAGTAGTCATCTATATGGACGCTATCACTATCCTTGCTTTGACTCTTGGAAAAGATACTAGATGAACTATTACAATGCTTTTTCTTGTGTTTCTTTTCTTTTAATTTTTTTTTCTCTTAATTCTTTAAGCTCTAACTCTAAACGTGCTTCCATTTCTTCTCTTTCTTTTGTTTTTATTTGTCTGACCTATCCTCCTTTTTCCATAGTTTTAGTTCCTTTAGTTCAACCTTTAGTTTTGCAAGATTTAGAGGTGAACTAGAGTCACTACCACTAGGAGAATTGTATGGTGTGTTCTTAGGCATGATGCAATCTCGAGAAAAGATTTTTCTTAGGTTAAACGAAAATGCAACCTAATATGTTTGAAGAAGTCTTTGAAACCTCTTAAATACTTTGACTTTTGGAAGAAATTAAAAGGAGACAATAAAGAAAATAAAGTATGCAACTAGATGTGTTCCTAGGTGAAAGTTTGGGTTGACACTCAAGAGTCTCTCAACACACTATCACAAGTGCTAACAAAAATTACCAACAAAAATTACAAGAAAATTGGAAGTTTTGAGTAGACACTTAGAATCTCTCAAAATCACTTCTAATAGAATGAGCTTTACAAGAAATTAAAATTAAAATGCAAAACAAGTCTTCAAATCTTATCCTACACAATGAACAAATTCATTAGTATAAGAGATATTCTAGTGTTTCATTCCTCTCTTTTGTGTTTGATCTTCATGTTCTCCAAAAGATAACCTTAATCAAGGAGTAAGTCCTCATAAGCCTTTATCAACATTCCAAGATGCTACCTTATGGCAAGGTGTCTTATTTACCTTCACTTGAAAATTTGGCACCAAAACAACACTAGAGAAGGTTTTAAAAGACAAATAATAAATGCGCAATTAAAATATAACTAAACTATATTGGAATTTGATGTGACAAACTCAAAGAGTATCAACAAAATAGACAAGTAAAAATTAAGGTATAATTTGAAAGCTAGAACTTCAAATAAATAGTCATAGGAATGGTTCTAGATTTGAACTACAAAATCAATTAAGACTCAAGATCACTTCCAAATTAAATGCAAAATCAAGTTAAATAAAATGTGACAAAAATATTTTGAATTTTATTTTCACAAAATGCTCCACATATTGTTTTTAACACAAATATTTTTATTTTTTTTCTTTTATTTCTCTTTTCTATTTCTTTTCTTTTGGAGCAAATTTGTGAATATTTTCATGTGTTTATGCTGCTAGAAATTTGTCGCAATTTTTCTTAAGAAGAGTAACTTAAAATTGTAAAAGAATTTAAAAGTACAAAAATTCAAAATGAACCAAAAATTGGTGAAGAATTTTGAAACTACTCTTGTTTTCAATTATGCCTTTTCTTTAGAAACTTTTTGAATGTCAAATAGCAAGTTCAACCATCATATTACTGCATCAATAAGAGTTTTAGAAATTCACTAACATTTGAATTCAGGTTGAATCACAAAAAGTTACGGAAAAACAAGAAATATTGAAAATTACAAGACACATGGAAACCTAATTCTCTAAGAACATGTGAATAATTTAATAACATGTATGAACTTAAAGGTTATAAGCAAAAAACATATAATAAAGTTTAGTCCAACACTATATGTTTATATTTTTCAAGATTGAAAAAAAAAGGACAAGTATAAGTGATGACAAAAAAAGAACTACACATGACTTCTAAGACACATGCACATGCATTTACATAAATTTCAAAAGAAAATTCCTATAGTACTACACAAATTTTCTATAATGTTTTCCAACATACATCAAAACATAGAGGAGAGCATAAAGAACAAGAATCCTAAGGTTATACAATAAGATTTGGTTCATAGAATGTAAGATCTAAAAATTTTGAACCAAAATTTTCATGACAAGCATAGATCCGTCAAAAAATAGCATACAAAATTTAGATCTATTCAACATGTACCATTCAAGACATGTAAGGACAATACAAACATGAAAATTAGAAAGAAATAGCCTTCATAGATAAACCTAGGTTCATGATACCAAAAATGATGAAATTATTGAGGAGATGCATGGTGAATCTTCTCAAAGATGAACTAAAAATGATGGAAAGGTATAGAAGACGGTGTGTCACTCCTTTAAGAAGATAAACAAGAAGTGAAGAAATTATTACAAGGAGGAGTTCTTTGATAAAAATTCATAAGGAATAAATGCTCCAAGATGAGAGCTAAGAGCTTTTGAGAGAATTTTGGAAATAAAATTCTTATTCCACTCAAAAGTGACGAGATTACACATGGAGGAGTCCATGTATAGAGTTTGGTAACTTGTAGTACAATTTAACCATGCATGGTTACATGTAACCAAAGTTAGTTATCTTGTACTCAAGACTACTAACTCAAGTTACGTTTTTAAATTTGAATTTTTATCTTAAAAACGTCACTATCTTAGATTTAAAATAGTCAATGATAGCATGTCACATGGAAAAGGTGCAAAATGTTGACTAGATGTCAACATTTTAGATCTAGAAGAGTTAATGAGAGCATGTCACATGACAAGTTGTTAAAAGTGTAGGTAGGTGTTCCACATGAGACTTGTTGGAGCTTGAATAAATCATGAGAGATGTGATCCACCATGTGGATATCCAACTAGGGGTTTGCAACACAAGACAACATCCCATGTAGAAGAAATTAATAGATTTCATGACCATGTAAGTATTACATAAACAATGTTAGACACAAGATAACGTTAGGGACTTGACGGGAAAAAACGTGTTTATGTATGGACTAAAACAAATTATTTATAATAATAGAGACTAAAAGAAAAAAAAATGCAAATATAAGGACTAAAAGGATAATTAAACCAAAACTAATCAAATAAATAGAAGATTTCAACAAATACAACCTTGCAAAACTTATATATGGTTATTCCTTCCCTATATTAATATTCCTTGTTCACTCCTTTTTTACCTTTTTCCCTTTATTTTTGGCAAGATTCTCTGATTTTCTTAATATATTTTTCCTAATAAGATACTTATCTAAATCTCTCTCTTTCGCACCTATCACATAGGTATACTATATACAAACTACTTACTTTAACAAATTTAGCTTTCAAAACAAACAATTAAAATACACAATTTGAAATTTATTGAAAAAAACTCAAGTCCCACATCGACTAGAGATTATACAATTGAATAGTATATAAGTGAAAAATAACCCTCACCTTACAAGCTGGTTTTGTAGGGTTGAGTTAGGCTTAAGTTCACTATTCTAAGATGGTATCGGAGCTATCCTAGATTCTTAAAAAATGGGTCGCCCACCATTGATACATGCATCATAAGCATGAGGGGGTGTATTGAGAAAAACTCAAGTTCCTCCAATCCTAGATCATTAAAAAGGGTCACCCACCATTTATTCACGTACCAAGCCCAATATATAAGTGGAAAATAACCCTCAACTAAGCCGATTTTGCAAGATTGAGTTAGGCTTAAATCCACTATTATAAAAAAATTCAAATTTCAAATTCCCAAATTGGAAAACCTTACCTACGTATAAGCACACATATTCTTGATGTGACGGAGGTCACCTATATATTGGTTTATCTACGAAATTTCCATTTCCTTGATCCATTTTCATTGACAAGAGTCCTTTGTCCCCTATCTCTTTTTCTAGCATGGAGGTCTGTTCATGCTTACCATTCACGAAATCCCACTCTTTCTTTTCTCATTGATAGAATCGAACCGGGAAGAACAACTTGAATCTGTTCGCGTCCCAACGTTGTGCATGTTTACTGTTGCTTTTCCATAATCCTATGTATTACTTTAGTACATAAAATAAAGGTTTTTGGAGTATGATGGGACTCAAACTTAGGTGGATGAGGACATCTAAAGCCTCAATAATCTCTGAACTAAGTCTTAGTGACTAATTAACTAACATCTTTAGTTATACACATCACTTAAATAAATATATTAATTTATATAATTCAACTGATGATTCACTGATTCCAGTAGCGAGCCAGTTACAGGTTCAAATTTTAAAACAATGGGTCACATTTTTTTTTTCTTTTATAGAGTAAAGGAAAACCATTTTGGATTGTTCTCTTACAAATACGAAAACTACCCATTTTAGTTAATCCTTTTTGTCCCTTTACATGGACCGGATTCGTTACACGTATGGGCCTATTGTTTTTTTTTCCAAATTGAACAAAAAAAAATTAGCATTGAAAGAAAAATGTAAAATATGACTAACATGTGGATATTCCTTAAATAGTTAACTTTGAAAAAGTTGTAAATACTATAATTTGCTGAGAAGTTGACACCGGTCAAAAATTTCCATTCACGCTCCTTGACTTGGTTATAGTATAGATGTTAACAATACTAATGCACCATTCTAAAAGAAGAAGAAGAAGAAAATAAAATAAATAAAAAAAACAGATCCTTTAGATTCTCATGTTAATTTGTTATATCAACCCTTCCTTAGAAAATGGTTATTCATTTAATCTGCAGTTAACAGCGCAATCCTTTTACCTCTTTGTTGTTTTAATCAAAACACATGCTTTCCAATATTTAGAGAACCACAATTTCTTATGTTTTCCAATTGGGGGGAAGGAGGGGTTTGGTTATCCAGAAGCTATCAGAGCATTTTGCACTTTCAAATGGAACCTAAAAGAAATACAAGACATTTGTCACTCCATTGAGGTGCATGCTGTCCAAAGTTTCAAGTGAGATTTTATTCTACAAATTATTCAAAAACCTGCAAAAGCAATTTGTCCTAAAGAGTTTCAAGACGGTTCACTTGAGAGAATTTATAAAGCTACACGAGAAAGGCACAAGGTTCTGACCACAAGTCACACCTAAATCTCAGAACAGGAGATATTACACCTGATTAACCATATTACATAGTAAGCAAACATAAATGAATACTAGAAAGTTTTGAATCATACATTCAGCAGTTTTCTGAATGAAGATCGGACAATTGCCAAAAAGAAATCATGTTAATCCATACACGAGAAACAACCTCATGTATTGGAAGAATAGGTTCCACTAGCCACATACAGAGATGCTTACTGTCTGCTAAAATCATCACTAGCATCGGTCATGATGGTTTGGTTCACGCCATTTTCAGAATATAGGTCGTGCCATTCTGAAGTTAGCAAGACATCTGGCCAAGTGAGATTAGACATGTATTGATTCTCACTCTTTGGGGCCCATACCTGGTCAACTGACTGCATTTTCACATTGTTGTTGCCTGCAAAATTTTCTAACAAAATCTCAACTTCTGCAAGGAATCATAATACATTTGTTGCAAGTTGCACATAGGAATTAGGGGGAAAATATTTCATCAATATTCATAATGAACTTATTGTGAGACAAAATCTCCACAGGGAAGAAAATTTCTCTACATTCTTAATTTATTTATGATTGGTCAATATTTTTAAGATGAAGAATGTACATGACACTATTAAGCTTTGTTAAGAAATAATGAGTTTGATCAATTATTTTAAAACTGATATTTCAAGAAAATACATGGCAAATGAAACAATGAACCATGTGGTAAAACAAGTAATCTTTAAAATAAAGTTGTGTAGTGCCAGAGATGTATTTGGATGTGTGAAAAAACAGTGAATGCTTTTCAAATATCATCCTTCATCATACCACACTAGAAGGTACTTACCAGTAATGGTCTGAAAAGATTCCCATTCATCCCATGAGTTTCCATTGGTGCTAACAGCAGGACACTCATTCAGGATTGAAGTTGCACAAAAGGGAGATACAGGGTCAGCATAATCCTCCCATTCTGTTGCATACATGTTCAAAGCGGAACTCTCAGCTATGTCACCAGGGGTTGCAACAGATGAATTTGAACTCTTGTCAGAACAATTATTCTTTGAACTAAGAGTCTTTGCCTGATAAACTAATGCATCAAGCAAGCCACTGTTATGTGGTGAAGAACAACCTGAGTCTAGTGCATTAGGTGGCTGAGAATGAATGAAAACATCAGCAGACTCATTCAATGGAGGTGGGGGAGAGGTGCCCCAACTACCAAATTCGGTTTCTGGATATTGGAGTGAAGGGAGCTCTGACTTCACAGCCTCAGTAGTCAGCTTAGAAGTAGAGGAATTGCCATTTGATAGTGAATGGCTGTAACAAATTGAACCATGTGAGGAGGCACCACGATCAAGGGGAGAATGCAATCCAAATGAATCTGCAATCTTATCAGAAGTATTATCCTTGATATGGTCAAATGGATAAAACTCATTCCTGCTCAATCCACTGGAACCAAGAAAAGACATTGTTGACTCTCGAAGATGATTAGGTAATGTTGATGGCACAAAATTACAATATGGAGGAGAACCAAGACCATTTGGCAGAATGCTATTAGCAGAAATATTAGGAAGCTCAGGCACATAAGGTAAGATTCCCTGATTTTCCTTCAAACTGTCAAATACTGCATCATGTATCTCATAATTGTTTTTATCCAAGAAATCTTGATGCCTATTATCACCATCACTGATTCCACTAGTGCCTTGGCCATGCTTGCTCTCTTTAAATGCTTGCAAAAATACTTCTGGAGGATAAAGTGGCAAGCCTGCCCGTTGACGCCTCTTGATCCGGGTGTTCCAGTAGTTTTTAATTTCGTTATCTGTACGACCAGGCAACTAAAAGCAAAAGAAATCAATCATTATAAATCATCATGGATAGGGAAAATGAATGCATCATAATGAAAACAGAAAAAAAAATTATAAGTATACAGGGATTGCTACCCTCCTGTTTCATTTGTAAGGGGTTGTTCCAGCTTCTCATTTGACAAAAAATGTTCTCCTTGTTTTATTATTCTCCTCTTTTTACTCATTATCATTAATCTCTCGCCTGTCTTTTCTTTCAACTCACTAATTTCTGTCCTTGTAAAATGTCTTAATCATCTAAACACTTTGGTTTACATATATTTAACTTTTTTGGGTGGGTGAGGTTGGGGAGAGGTATACCAATATGGAATCTACATAGAACTGGGGAAATCGTGTGCCAGGGATCCCCCTTCCTCCCTGGCAACAGCAGCTTCATGATCTTATAGGCCAGGGGAAGCACTATGTGATATAAAGCTCATTGATAACATATGATTTTTAGAAAGAGAGAAGGGAAGTGATTTGGACTGAATGAAAAGGTGAAGGAGGTTAGAAAGAAACAGATTTTTGTAGTCAATCTTGGGTGATATGCAAGAAAAAGAAATCGACAAGTTCTTTCCCAATAATGCAATCACAATAAAATACTAATGTATTTTAAAATTCATATGATTGTCATTTCTCTAGTTTGGCATGTTACCTTACATCATTGTCTAGCAGTAAATGACCATAAAAAACACTTATGATGTCATATAACCTTTTTCACATTAAGTATTAACAGTTTCCATGATATTTTCTAATATTTGTAGAGTAAAATTATGATTAAGCTAATTTGCAATTATATTAGTCTATCTTCATATATAACTTAGACCTAACAGTGATTCATAGACAAAAAAATTAAATTCAAACAGATGGTCTGAGATGAGTTTCATCTAGGACACTGTACCATAATACTGATTACTTTCCCTAAAAAGACATGATGATATGAAGAGTAACTTAGAAAGATGTTGCAAGGCTCTCTATTGGGAAAGATTTGTCACACTAAAATGTTGCAGCATTCAATGACATTTATACAGAATTAATTATGTTAAATACATAATCTTACTATATGACAATTAAACTGTATTATGCCACATTAGAGTCAGCCTCTACAGAAGTTATTATGATGTAACCATCAATATGCAGATTATTCTCATGAACAGTTTCATTTATTCATCCATGTGTTTGTTGTTGAATGGCACAGAGATTCATAAATCTAATTAGTTTGTTTCATATTGTAAGGGACAAGTCAAATAAAAAAGAAGATGCATTTGTGATATGAAGTTCCCTTTCAGAAGATATAAGGATGGCATAAACAACACTTACATCACAAATGACAAGTAGAATTCACACATTTTAGCATAAAGAGAAAGAAACAGAAAATTGAAACAAGATAACTAAATATGTAAGGCAACGAAAAACACAGAGTCTGCTTACGTGCGCTGCCATGCGTGCCCATTTGTTTCCCATTTTGGCATGGAGTTCAGCAATCAACCGCTCCTCTTGTGCAGTAAAAGCCCCTTTTTTTAAATTTGGCCTTAGGTGATTGGCCCATCGCAATCGACAACTTTTTCCACAACGAGACAGGCCTGAGTACTTCTGAACAGCATTCCAGTTCCCCTCTCCATGCTTGTTGACATAGTTCACCAAAATAGCATCTTCAGCAGATGTCCATGGCCCTTTCTTCAGAACAACATCTCCATTACCCTCATCATTTAACTGTGACCTGGTCTGATCATTGCGGTGCACATTGTCATCAACCTCATTTGTCATTTGACTCATCTCTTAAATAATAGTTCCTGCAATGAGTTTTACAACCACAGATTAAAGAACCAAAAAATACAGCAGAAATCTCGGAGAAAAGCAAAAAACACAAGAAATCCTAGATTCGCGGTGCTGGCCACTAAATTCCCTTTTATTCTCTTCCCCTAGATCTTGCTTTTGTGCAGGGGACCGGGTTGTAAAACACATCAAGACACGAGTAGAATGATATTAAATGATCTAGACAACAAGGGTGAAAACCAAAAATGACCTTCATCAAGGTGCCTTATTAACAACCAGAGCTACCATAATCCATAAACAGAAAGGGAAACAATTAAAACTAAAAGAACCATAAAATCCAAGCACCTCTATCCTTTTATAAAATCATAGATCACAGAGGATAAGTAAAAGCAGTATGCATAAATTTCTAACAATATAAGTTACTAGCTAATCACAAAACTAATGATGATCTCGGGAAAGCAGACCCTAAAATTAAATCAAGTATGATATTGTTACAGTTTCAAATCATATTAACTATTTTTACCAAATCGGGAAGTAAATATAAAGAGGAACATAACCCTTTTGCTTTGAGAGGGCAAAACAAAAAATTCCATCTACAAATCACACCCACAACAGTTTCCCTTCCAGCATAAAGCTGGGTTACAGCAATATAGCATTTAATTATTTCAAAATCAATAACACGAGCAAAAGAGCAAATTGCACGTTCTACACTTGCACAAAATTAACTGCCACATCACATTTCAACAGGTCCAAAACTCTTCCAAAGGAAAGAAACTTATCAAAATACTAGCCAAAATAATAATAATAATAATAATAATAATAAATTAGTAATAGTATATACCCGAACAGGACTTGAGTGTTGAAGCTAAAATCCAAAGATATAAGCTCAATTTCCCAAAAAAACAAGAATCTTATTCCTG